CGTTAACAATACCCACGACAAGTATACTCTCTGAGAATTTTGGAACAGGAATAACGAGGGAGGAAGGGTTGAAGCTGCCACAGTGATTCTGTCTTTAGAACTTGGGATGCTTGTTTTGATTTTCGGATTATATCTCTGCCTTCCTCTATCAAGAGGTGACTTGAATTTAAATTAATTTTGTGTAGTGGCAAAAAAAAAAGGAAAATATTCCTCCTCAGTAATACAATAAATTCCAATAAAGACAGTGAAATATACCATTTTCCACTGTCACATTAGCAAAGATTAAAATAAACAAACCTCAAAATATTTTTTATCTGTTAGTATGTTAATTTGGAGAGTCATGCAGAGTACTGGTGAGGGTGCAAATTGTGCTTTTAGAAAATAATTTGGCAGATTTTATCAAGAGCCCAGAACATTTATACTCTGTATCCACTCATTTCGTACCCAGAAAACTCTCCTGAAGGGATAATTTGTGCAAAGAAAAGCCTTGGGCACAAAGATGTTCACTGACACATTAGTTTTAGAGCATTTTTCTTGTTACAATAAATAATACGTATTCAATGCAGAAAGCTTTGGAGGACATAGGAAGGCACAAATTAACAATTAAAGATTAATTGTAATTTTTCTGCACAAAAAGAACATTTTGGTATAAGTTTTCCTTTTTTTTAGTAATTTTTTTTTTTTTTTAGGAAGATTAGCCCTGAGCTAACATCTGTTACCAATCTTCCTCTATTTCTTTTTTTTTCTCAAAGCCCCAGTACATAGTTGTATATCCTAGTTGTAGGTCCTTCTAGTTCTTCTATGTGGGACGCCGCCTCAGCCTGGCTTGATGAGCGATGAGTAGGTCCGCACGCAGGATCCAAACCGGCGAACCCAAGGCTGCCAAAGCGGAGCACGTGAACTTAACCACTACACCACTGGGCCGGCCCCTGGTATAAGTTTTTCTAATTTTTCCTCTGCATATGTGCTTTTAAAAACATAGTTGTAGCTGCCTTTTTTCCCTCAGCTATCTATTTTGAACATTTTCTCCCTCTGTTGTACTCACCTGGGGAAACTCTAACCCTACTTGAAACCAACTCTTCTTTCCTTTCTGGCTCGCTGCTGGACAGCCGAACATCGTTGGAAAAATGAAAAAATCCCACGCAGCTGAGCTGCCGGGTTTCACCTTAAATTCACAGGCATGAACCTCAAGTTAGTCCTTTGCACTGTCCAGAAATGCTAAGACATCCCTGTAGTAAATTCACTTTCCTAGTCTTTGGGAAGATATTCAATACCTTCTTTCTTTTTTAGAGGCGATGCCTTTTTTTGTTTGTGTGTGTGTGAGGAAGATCAGCCCTGAGCTAACATCCGTGCTAATCCTCCTCTTTTTTTGCTGAGGAGGACCGGCCCTGAGCTAACATCTATTGCCAATCCTCCTCCTTTTTTTCCCCTTTTTCTCCCCAAAGCCCCAGTAGATAGTTGTATGTCATAGTTGCACGTCCTTCTAGTTGCTGTATGTGGGACGCTGCCTCAGCATGGCCGGACAAGCGGTGCGTCAGTACGCGCCCGGGATGCGAACCCGGGCTGCCAGCAGCGGAGCACGAGCACTTAACTGCTAAGCCACGGGACCGGCCCTCAATTCCTTCTTTCTTCAAACCTTCTGTATACAGTACCACTCCCTCCACTCTTAGCCAATGACCTCGTCTCCAACAAGGATACCCCTCACCTCTGCCACCACTCTTGGAACCCACCAGTTGTCTCCTCCCTCCTTCCTACCGGAAGTGACGTGGTGCCTGCCTCCTACCCCAGGTCAGGCTCTCTTGTGTCTCAGACCCCACCTCTTCCTCCTCCTCAGGGGCCTCCGTCTTTGAATTATCCACCCCCTCTCCTGCATCATCAGTCTCCTCCTCTCTTTTGGTTTATTGCCAGTATCACAAAAAATGCTCTAATGTCTCACATCTTTAAAAAACCTTCCTTGATTTCACATCTCTGCCTACTCTGTCTAGCTTTCATACTTGTTCTCTGCTACCTTTTATAGTACTTCTTGAAAGAGTTGTCTAGACAGTCTGTCTCTTCCTCATCACCCGTTTTAGTCTGGCGTCACCCTTCTTGTTTCACAGAAATGCTTGTCGAGGTCAGTGGAGACTGTGTGTCCATCTTCATCTCCCTGGTCCTGTCAGAGTTAGGGGTTTTCTCCAGCTTTACCTCCTACCTCTATTTGTTAATAATTCCCCAATTTTTAACTCCAGCTGAGGTCACTTTTCCAGGCTCCAGAGTTACCACCAGCTACCTACTGAACATCTCCCCTCGGATGTCTTTCAGCCATCACAATCTTAAAATAACCAAAACAGAGCTCTTAGTATTTTCCTACAAATCAGTTCTCCTCCCTCTAAATCTTTTCTGTCCCTCTAAATGTCTCTACATCGATTTCTTTGTTTAAGCCAAAAACCTAGGCTTAGATTTCTTTTTTTTTTCTTGTCCCCCACATCCAGTTCAGCAGCTAGCCCTGTTGGGATACACACCCCAAAATGTGTATCAAACCCATCCACTTCTCGCCATCTCCACTGCCACCAGTCAGGGTCGGACGATTGCAAGAGCCTCCTCGATCTACTTCCTGCTTCTGTTCTTGGCCCATCCAATCTCGTTTCTCTATAGCACATCAGATTACGTCCTTACCTTCAGTGGCTTTCCAGTGCCCTTCAGACAAAATCATACTCCTATCAAGGCCCCATATGATCTGGCCTCCAACCTCAGCTTATAGCGTCTTCAGTTCCGAGACAATGTCAAGCTCTTTTTCCTTTTTTCACCTCAAGCCTTTGTGCCTGCTCCCTCTCCTTTCCCAGCCTTTGAGTGGCTGGCGTCTTCCTCGTCGGGTCCACTTCCTCAGAGAGGCCTTGCCTGATCCCCTCTTGAAGGTAGCTGTCCACACCTGCTTTTTTCTATCATTGCCTGGATTTATTTACCTCAGAGCACTTATGACAAGTTGCGATTGCTCTTTTTGTTTAGCATCTGCTTCCTTCACTAGAGTGTACGCTCCACAGGAGCAGCACCGTATCTTCTTGTGTTCCTTCCTGGTGCTTAGTCCAATGACTGACAAACAGTGGTCGTCCAACAAATGTTACTGAAAGAAAGAGTAAATGAATGAGTAGATATTTTTCCATATCACTATTTCTAATGGGTACATAGTATTCCATTGTACAAATATAACCTAATTGACTTAACCACTGCCTTATTATTAGATGTATTTGTTCCCAATTTTTCACCACACTGAAACATGGGAAATAATCTAAATGGCTACTGGGAAAATTGTTGACAAAACTAGAGACTATTTTGCAGGCATTTAAAATCCTGGGAAGGGCTGGCCCCATGGCTTAGCAGTTGGGTGCGTGCGCTTCGCTACTGGCGGCCCAGGTTCGGATCCCGGGTGCGCACCGATGCGCCACTTCTCCGGCCATGCTGAGGCCGCGTCCCACATACAGCAACTAGAAAGATATGCACCTGTGACATACAACTACCTACTGGGGCTTCAGGGGAAAAAAAGAAAGGAGGAGGATTGACAATAGATGTTAGCTCAGAGCCAGTCTTCCTCAGCAAAAAGAGGAGGATTAGCATGGATGTTAGCTCAGGGCTGATCTTCCTCACAAAAAAAATAAAATCCTAGGAAGCATTTTTATTAACATGGGGAAATGAGTTTGTTAATGAAAAAAGCATAATATAAAATTTTATATACAGCTGATCTTAACTATGTAAAGGTGCATGGAAAAAGCTAGTAGGAAATAAACTAAAATGTTAATTATGCATTGCAAGTTGGCAGGATTACAGATGATTTTTCTTTTTGATTTTTTTATGTACACAAGTAATAGATGATATTTTATACTTTTCTGTGTTTTTCAAGTTTACTGCAGTGAGTATGTGTTTTTTAATAATCAGGTAAAATGTTCTTGAAAATTTTAGAACACTTTTATGACACATCAGATGAACATAGTCAGAAGCAGAGTTAGGAACTGTTGTGCTCTGGAGAATGACCTAAATGTTTGAAACACACTTGCTAATGACACCTGTTAGCCTTTGAGTCCTTCCAGGCCTGTGTGTTACCTGGATTTAGAAAGAGTGGCCAAAGTGATATTTCCTATGAAACCTCCTTGTCTGGGTAGACTTCTGTGTAGACGGCGTTATAGAAACTGGGGCTTACCAAAATGCTGATTTTTGATAAGAGCATCCACAGATGTGCTCAGGGTTGGAAAGACATCACAACTGCTCTTCACGTCTGTGTTTGGAGCTTGAGGGGGCTCATGTGGCTGAGGTGTTGTCACAGCCTTTTACTCACTTACTTAAGGCCGTGGTTCACAAACCCGAGACCTTTTGGGAGTCCATGAGGTCAAAACCATCTTTATAATAAGACAAGGGGTTATTTGCCTTTTTCACTCTTACTCTCTCTCAAGTGCACAGTAGAGTTTTCCAGATGCGACAGATTCGCAGCAGATTGCAGAAGCAGACGGGAGAATCAGCCATCTTCTACGAAGCCAGACATTAAAGAGAGTTGCAAAAATATGTGTTTAAAAAGTGCCAATATTCTCACTAAAAATTCTTTTCTTGTGGAAAATATAGTTACGTTTCATTAAAATGCTATTTATGTTAACATATGGGTTTCTGGTTATTTTAAATAAATTAATAAATACTTTTAAAATTTCTACTATGGTACATATCGATAGATATTTACCCACATAAACAAACACTCTTTAGGGTCCTCAATTTTTAAGAGTGTAAAGGAGTCCTGAGACCAAAAAGTTTGAGAACCGCCAAATTAAGGAAATAAGAAGAGAACTCGCTGGTGGATTGACCATGGCTCAGTAAACAGATTGGTTGAATTGAATGACAAAGGGAACAAAGCCTATGGGGGGATATGACCTAGTCTAATAGGCAGGTGTTGGAAGTCCTTGACTTTGCATTAAATTTTCCTTCTTCTCTCCCTCTCTCTCTTTCCCTCCCTCCTTGCTTCCTTTCTCTCTCCTGTTTTTTAGAGATCATGCATGATGTGATAAAGAAGGTAAAGAAGAAGGGAGAGTGGAAGGTAAGTGGAAGTGTACAATTAATGCCCTTAGAGGTGAATTCATGTGGAAGAAAAAAGAATGGGGGTAGAGTTGGGGAAAGGCGTGTAGGCAGGGAAGGAGGACAAGTGCTGTGTCCGGAGTACAAAAAAAGAGAATCTGCTATGCCCCTCATTTCATACGACCCTGGTTAAGAAATCTCCATCATAAAGAAGATGTGGTATATATATACCATGGACTACTACTCAGCCATAAAGAAAGACAAAATCATCCCATTTGCAACGACATGGATGGACCTGGAGGGTATTATGTTAAGGGAAATAAGCCAGAAAGAGAAAGATAGACAGTGCATGATTGCACTCATATGTGGAAGATAAACCAACACACGGACAGATAGAACTGTTTGGTGGTTACCAGGGGCTAGGGGGGTGGGGGGTGGGCACAAGGGGTGGAGGGATGCACTTATATGGTGACTGATAAACAAAAATGTACAACAAAAATTTCACAATAAAAAGAAAAAAAAAAAAGAAATCTCCATCATAAAGCTTATCTTCAAGATCACCTGGTGGGGTATTTTGGCCCTGGAACCCTTTTATTCAAACAAAATCATACCTGGAACCCATTAAGTAAAGCAGAAGAAGGTGAAATTGTCCTCTTTGCTGTGGGAGAGAAAGAGGAGACCCTTCCTGCCTCTTTGTTGGCCCTAAAGCATCTCCATGGAGCCCACACAACAGGTTGAAAAGCCCTCATCTGCTCTGTCCCCATCTGTCTGTAACCACATAAGACAAAAGAAGTAAGCTTGTGTATTCATGTAACGTTGAGAGCAATGCTGGAAACTATCATGTACCTGAAGCAAGTAGTTGAGCCAATCAGATTGGTTGTGGTCTTGGTTCCTGTGGGAAAGCGTGCTGTCCTCCGCTCAGGAAGTCAGCGTTTTAGGGGTCACTTGGGTGTCTGGGGCTGGGCGTTAACTGGCCGGGAGAGCATGCAGTCTTACTTGAACTTCCCCGGGTGTTGTCGAAGGGTTTATACCGACCATTGTTGCCCCCACGTTTTCCTGCAGTCAAGAGCCCACACACATTTTCGAGTTCACTGGGCCTGGGAAGCACAGGGCTGACTGGGACAGATTTGGAAGGCTCACCCCTGGCCTTGTGAGATTCTATTTTAGCACGTCCATCCTCGCCACCCAGGGTGGGAGGCCATCTGGTGGGAAGTCTGTCTGCATGTCTTTCTCTCTCACCCTTCCCATCAGTTAATGGGTTTGTGGACATATGAATTTTAAACTAATCTTGAGGAAGCTGCCTCATAACATGAAAATCAATTGGCCCTTGTACCGCAGCAGAGAGCTTTCTGTCCACATGCTGTCTGGCTCCTGTTTCCTCGGTACATGTCATTAAAGAGGAAGAAAAATACGTAGCCTTGCTTGAGCAAGGCTAAAGCTTTAGCCAGCTTCCTCTCTCCACCGCCGGCTGGATGGTTATGGGGAAGGTTAGCTGAAGAATTGCAGGTATGAAGCTTTTAGACCAGGATTGGCACGTTCTTGTTCCTCCAGTCTGGACAGAGGTAGCGTCTACTTCCAGATGACGCAAGTGCTGGTCCATCCTAGTGATGTCTGCAGCCAAGTCCTCACCTTCCATACCATATGTGTGGCACTGGTGTTCACTCTCCTTTTAAGAGAAAGGTTGTGCCCTGAAGAAATACTCTCCCATATGGTTTTCTCTATCTGGGTGCTGTAGATGAGTTTTTTTCTTTTCTTTTTTGCATTTTTATGAGTAATTATTTATCATGGAAAACTAAAACTTAACTTTTTTAAGTTTATAAAATTAAGTCAATGAGAACAAGCTCCAAGTCGTAGAAGGTTAGGTTGAGCATAGGAGATAAAAGCTAACATATATTTCAGCAAACTTCTGGCCCATAGGAAATATCGGTAACTCAATATTCTGCATTTCTGGGTTCTTTTCGAAGTCTGGCGCAGTAAGGTGATGAGAGAATCGTAGCAGATGCCATCCAGGCTGTACGCTGTTCTCTTTCCTTCCAGGTGCTGGTGGTCGATCAGCTGAGCATGAGGATGCTCTCCTCCTGCTGTAAGATGACGGACATCATGACCGAGGGGATAACAAGTGAGCACAGCATTCTCTCCGCCCCTCAGGGACACTCAGGTCTTCTCTTGGTGGCGAGCTTTCCTCCTCCCTATTCATTATTATCTCACTTGACTTTAGATTCTTTCAACAACTTGGGTGCTTAGACTGTAAGTTCCTGAGAGAGACCTAAGGCTTCTTGTTCATTGCAGAGTCCCTAGCACCTAATCCAGTGCTGGAGCTCATTAAATACCTGTTAAAGGCTACCAAAAGGAAGGTTAAGTCAAGAAAAAAAGGCAGGCCACCCAATAGAAAAAAATGGGCAAAAGACCTGAACAGGTGCTTAACAGAGGAAGAAAGGCAAATGGCCGACAAATACATGAAAAATTGCCCACCGTCATTAGTGGCCAGGGAAATGCAATTAAAACCAGAGTGAGGTACCGCTATGCACATACCAGACTGGAGTATTTAAACTCTGGTGATGCCAAATGACAGAGAGGATGCAGAAAAATGGAAACTCCTGTATGATGGAGGGTCACTTGGTACAGCTCCTTTGAGAAACACTTGGCAGTGTCTAGCAGGGTTGAAAGTAAGTGTGTCCTATGAGCCAGCAAGTCTACAGTTAGCTGTGTGTCCTAGACCACCTCAGATGTGTGTGCCCAGGATGCACATGCAGGAAGGTTCACAGAGCATTGTTCATAGTAGCCCCAAATTGGAAATGACCAAAACGTCCATCCAGAGTGGAATGGTTAAATAAATTGTGGTGTAGTCACACAGCAGAATACTATACAGCAATGAAGATGAATGAACTCTGACCACTCACGGTAACATGAATGAATCTGATAAACATGATGTTGAGTGAAAGAAGGTACAAAAGAGTACTTACAGTGTGCTTCCATTTATATAAAGTCCAAAACCAGGCAGAGCTAAGCTACACTGTTTTGAAATGCAGACGTAAGTGGTAAAACCATAAAGAGAAGTGATCACCATTCAAGTCAAGATGGTGGTTCTCTTTGGAGGGAAGGGAGGAACTTGTGACGAGGGAGGGGTGAGGGCACTTCTGCAGTGCTGGCAGGTTCTTTTTCCTAACTGGGGTGATGCTTTTGTAGACATTTACTTTGTAATTATTTGTATGTGTATGTTTTATTCGCTCTTTGGAATGTGTGTGATAATTTCACGATGATAGGGTTTTGTAAAAAGTTAAATCTCCTGCGCAAAGTCACTAGCCAGTGAGTAGTCAGTGGACTCCGACCTCCTGGCTTCTGTCCCAGAGCTCTTGTTCACACTCGTCTGCAGCTCTAGTCTTCCCTAGCAGCTCCTTTCAGGAGAGGTCATGTATTTTAATCTTTGAAAGAGCCTTGATTGAAAAGCAATCTCTTTTGAGGTATCATTTCAAACAAGGAAGTTCACCTTTATTTTTCCTCTGAAAAAATGTTGGTGGAACATACCTGTTACCACGCAGCTTCCGATTTTTTTCCCCTGGAGACAACTTTATATGATGTGTGGCTCACAGACTTGCTGGTCTTTGTCAAAATTATTACTATACCACAGTTGTGGGAGGAAAATCAAGGAGGGTTGAGGTTTTCAGTAAGGTAAATGAATTTAATTTAAAGGTTTGTCTTTTATTCTAAGATCATCTCTTTCCTATTAACTGGTGTTAAAATGTTTTTAAGTTGTAAAATTACGGTGATAACATAATGTGGATTTTCTTGTTGATCAAATTCTATGTGAAATATATATATGTAAAATAATTTTGGGGGGATACAGTCACACCTTGGTTGTGATTCCTTCATTTTCAAAAACACATTTCCAAATCTGGTTTATCTGTCACCAGAAGCATAATCCTATAAATGGGAGTACGTAATTTTTGGTGTGACGTTTTACCATTAAGTAACTCAAGACCAGGCTTGCCCCTGTTTTGAGCTTACAAAGTTATTTTCTTCACTGAATTTTTAAAACTATTTTTTTCTCTATCAAAGTGAGAAATGCACAAAAGTTAAGGGGGAAAAAAACCAAATGGAGCTTCTGGTTGTCTTTTTGGTACTTCTGAATAAATGCTTATACTATTATCTCGATTCATCCACGTTAGACGTTATCTGTTGACTTCCTGTGGTAGATGAGGGTTTAGCTCTCCCTACTGCACACAGACTCTTCCTACCCCAAAGGTGGGTTTAAAAAAATGTCCTCACTTGACAAAATTTTTAAATTAGCAAGCCTGTGTTGAACCCCCAGATATTTTGGGGAAGCGTATTATTGGCCTATGACATTCAAAAATCTCCAACCACTGGTAAAGTAGATGGTTGAGGGATTTTGGTATTAATTTAAACATTATTTGGGGTAAAAAGTCTTTATAAATGTTTTGAGGGATGCTTCTACAGTGATGCTTTTATGTGCTTAACTCACCTGCGTGGGAAGAACAGCATCGTATGACTATACTGCTGTCTCTGTACCGGAGGGCAGTACAGCAGAGCTAATGCGTCCTGAGCTTTATCAGGTGACTAGTAAGGTGACAACTCTCCCAAAAGCTCTGCCTTCCAGGTGAAGTAGTTGACGTAAGAGAAACAAGCAAACCAAATGCCTATGGTTTGCTTTAACAAAATTTGACGTTTAGTTTTTGAACTCTTGAGAGGTCAGTATTATATAGAGGGTATGTTTGGAATATCTTCATTTGATATGCACAGGAAAATGATAAAACTATCCAATTGTTGATAAATAAACCCAACATGGAAATTCTAAAGGAATTGGGATTACTTAGGATGGATGAGAAAAAACTGAAGGAAGATGGGGCTGGCCCGGTGGCACAAGCAGTTAAGTGCACGCGCTCTGCTGCAGTGGCCCAGGGTTTGCTGGTTCAGATCCCGGGCATGTACCAACACACCGCTTGGCAAGCCATGCTGTGGTGGCGTCCCACGTAAAGTGGAGGAAGATGGGCACGGATGTTAGCCCAGGGCCAGTCTTCCTCAGAAAAAAAAGAGGATTGGCAGATGTTAGCACAGGGCTGATCTTCCTCACAAAAAAAACAAAACAAAACAAAACAAAACAAAGGAAGAGGCCAAAGACTGTTCTTTACAGAATGAGGTAGCATTTTCCTTTTTCGGTCAGAGCAGAGCAAGGAATTTACATAAACTGAAATGGGAAGTGGGATATATTTAGTGTGATAAGGTTTCAGGTTTTCTAACATCTTGAGCATTGTGAGAGAGTGGAATGTGGTAACTCTACGGAAGGGACAAATGATTCTTTTCCTCTCCCCACTATCAATTTATATCTACACCAGTCTGAAGGTGGCCTCTCTACATTGCTCCTAGTTTTATCATCACCAGTGATATTTTCTTATTCACTGTGGGCTGCTATCTTGTTGTCTAGTTGTGGAAGACATCAACAAGCGCAGAGAACCGCTGCCCAGCCTGGAGGCTGTGTATCTCATCACTCCATCTGAGAAGGTAAACCCTTCCCCCGGAAGAGCTTTGGCTGAGGTTACACGTGCTGGCTTGTGTCTGTGTGGCACACTGTCTGACATTGTCTAGGTTAAGCATGCATTTAACACACTGCTCTGTTTAAGCGTGCAGTCCACAAACGGGGAGGGAGGGGTGCAGGGAGCAGTGCAGAGTGCATTAAGCTTTCTGAATAGAACCGTTGTCCAGAGAGGCAGCGCCAGCTCATTCTAGTTTTGCCCTTGCACTCCCTCTCTAATTAGGTAGGAGATCCTCTTTATCTAGTGATCCATCTCCAGAACTTTGGTATTTTGTGGTTTCAGATCTATTTCATCAATATCCAGTTAGTGTTCGAATTTACCTGTCTTATCATTTTTGGAGGTTGGTTCCAATCAACATCCAGACAAGGTCCACCTCCTTGCTTGTGGTTGATAGTTGTCTTAGGTCTCTTAATGTATATAAATTCCCTCCAGTTTTCAGGCTTTCTTTTCACTTTTGAAAACTGGCTTATATGTGAGTTTCTGCAGATGCAACTAAATTGCCAGAACTTCATCAATATGAATATCCTGGAAGGTTTCTGACCAGTTTCTGCTTTTGTGGGTCTCTTCTTAGGAACCCAAGTTATGGAGGCTCCACAGAACTGACACTGTCATTCTGGAATGAGCTAAAAAGGCTTTTGTTCATGTATACTCTGAAATAATCCTAATTTTAGGTCTTCAGAGCTCAATTATGGCTGAATATGAGTTAGAATTATACATCATAAATCCCACGCTATTTTGTGCAAGTAGCTTGAAGCCTGTGTGGATGTGACTCAGTTCAGATACAGGTCCCCTTTGCTTCTAGAATTGGATTCAGTTCCCTCTTTTTTTCCCTCTCCACAGTCTGTCCACTCTCTCATCAGTGACTTCAAGGACCCACCAACCGCCAAGTACCGGGCTGCACACGTCTTCTTCACTGACTGTAAGTACACCTGTCAGCTGCCGCCCCTGCCCTTCCGGGTCAGTGTTTCTGCTGACAGGGAAGAAATGGGTTGTTGCCATATTTGTCCTGATCTTTTATTTTCTCTTCAGAAGATAAATTGCTAAGAGACAAAAATAAATGCACACAAATACAAACCTACTAAGTCGTGAAGTCTTTTCTGATGAAAATATCTCTTCTTTTAAGGACTAAAGCGTTTAATACTGAGAAGCATTTTTCAATGCTAGCCGTGGTGTTTCACTGTACTGACTTCCAGATATCACTGTAAACTATAGAGTATTTCCATCAGTTTTTCAACTACAAAGATATTCCAATCCAGTGGTCTTTGTATCAGAGAGAACTGTTTCATTGTCCTGGAGTCTGTTTTCTTGTTTTGTGGAGGTTTTGTGCATGGAGGCTAGCGCAGAAGCATCTTGGTCAATCTTTGTTAATAGCAAAGAGAGATGAGCAGAGCTGGATAGCTGAAGAGTGTACCTGATAACAGTTCGCCTGTGTTGTCTCTAGGGAAAACCCCACAAAACCCAGCACTGAGAAAATGGGGAAAGGTTCTTGCAAAGAATAATTTTGTACTATTTGAATATGGGTGACAAAGAGAGCAGGTAGACAGCATTAGTAATAATATGTTTTTGGGAACCTAAAGCCATTTGTTTGGCCCAGGAGAGTCATTAGAAATCATGGTTCCCCTAAGTGCAGCTGAGTTTCTTAGAGGGTCCAGAGGAAGAGCCTGCATTGCATTTCCTAATGATTTTATTTTCCTTTATTATTTTATTTTTCATAAGCATGTTAGATGTCTGGTGTTTGTTTGTGTTACAGGCCTTTTCCTCATCCCTTCTTAATCTCTTTTTTTTTCTTCCTTTCCTTGATATCAGAATATAGTTTTTATTGGTTCTCAATATCTCAATCTTTGTTGCCATTTGTTTCTCTGTTACATGTTGAGGGCCTGGTAGGTGGTTTTATATTCCTTTTTCACCCGAGAGGTAGTGGATATTTTAGGCTGGGGTTAACTTTCTAGTTGCCTTTTTAAAATCCTAATAAAATAAAGAATCCGCTGGACATGTGCAACTGTTGACATGAACCAGCAAACGGACAGGAAAACCTACTGTCTTTGTCCTTCTTGCAGCTTGTCCAGATGCCCTGTTTAATGAGCTGGTAAAGTCTCGAGCAGCCAAAGTCATCAAAACTCTGACGGAAATCAACATTGCATTTCTCCCATATGAATCCCAGGTGAGGCCGAGTGGGGAGTGCATAGGAAATCTGCGTCCTTTATTCTATCAGGAACCCTGGTGAATTCTCAGAGGGTGGGGCAGGGGTGTGATAAAGAGAGTAGGGGAGGGAAGATAGCATGTTCTGAATTGCTGGATGACATGGTGTAAGTGGATGCTGATGTAGCAGAAAGAAACGGTATTCCTTAGTGGTCTGCCCCGCGCCCTCTTCTTACTCTCCAGTTATTTCTGACGTTTTTTCAGCCATTGTGCCTTTCTTTGATGCGTGTCATCCTTGCTCACAGTGTTCACTCCTATTGGCTGTCTCCTTGAATAACCAAAAGGTAGCCAATCCAAAAAGAGCATGGAAGGCGAGGAAGGGAAGGGATCAGACAATGCCCATCTGCTGCATAGGAGACTGTTTTTATGTAGGAATAGCCTCAGCTTGTCATGTGCTGAAAGAACAGATGGCAGCCTTCGTCATTAGCCGTTAACGCTTCAAATGCTGGATGCCATGGCAACAAACCTCTCCCCTTGGAAAAAAACAAAGTGTTCAGCCAGTAGTGGTGAAGCTGTTGATGAGAGGGTATGAGATTCATATCTTAGTATTTAAGATTTCTGAAAATGTCTTCTAGCAAACAAAGAAACAAAAATAACAAGGACTTTTATGCATTTTGTAGACATAATAAATGGTTGTGGCAAATTGGATCTTTATAGATCAACTTCTAGACACCGGAGAGTGACCTGTTCTTTGGTAAGGAGGGTTGGAAAAAATACAGTGTGAACATTTAAAGACATTCTCTTTCCCTTGTCACTTGACCTAAAGCCTCTTCCCAGCTGATGGGCAGGAAATCTTTTTTTCTCTGTGTGAGCCTTGTCACCACCAGGATTGAACAACAGCCAACTTTAGTGTATTCAACCATATTATGTTTCATACATTTTAAAAATATATGAAATAAGTAAAGAGTTGTAAGTAAAATGTGATAAACTTTTTTAAAAAAACCTCAGGTTTTCTAGAAGATCAGGGTAGTTGATATAAATGAGATTCTGAGAGAGTTCTGATAGCTGATAAACTAGGCAGTTTAAGAGGAAATTTTAAACTTCTAGAACCTACCAAAAAAAAAAAAAGAAGAAAAAAAATGCTTGGAACATATACCAAGGATAGAAAATTACTAGATCCATAAAAAGCTCCTTTACTGGGGCCGGTCCTGTGGCATAGCGGTTAAGTGTGCACACTCCGCTGCTGGCGGCCCGGGTTTGGATCCCGGGCGCGGACCGATGCACCGCTTGTCAGGCCATGTTGTGGCGGTGTCCCATGTAAAGTGGAGGAAGATGGGCACAGATGGGCCAGTCTTCCTCAGCAAAAAGAGGAAGATTAGCACAGGTGTTAGCTCAGGGCTGATCTTCCTCACACACACACAAAAAAAGCTCTTTTACTTGCCCACAGTCACAGCACAATTTCTAGCTTGTCTCTTATTTATTTAAACTGACAGTGGCCTGCGAGGTCTGACAGCTCTTCCTCTCCTCCTCTCCTCCTGGCCTCTCATTGTTCATCAGACACTCCAGGCACACGCCTTCCTCAGGGCCCTGGCACAAGCCATTCCCTCCCCGTGGAAGTCCCCTGCTGGTGAGAAACTCCTCACCTCCTTCAAGCCCTTCCTCAAATGTCACCTTCCCAAGGAGGCCTAGTGTCCTCCCTCTCCAGCCCTCTGGACACTCTTTCCCTGCTCTATTATGTTCTCATACACTTACCAGTTTCTCACAGACCATAAAATTTATTCTTCATTATGTTTATTGTTTACTGTCTGCCTTCCCTACTAGATTACACACGCCTCAAAGATGGTCATGTTCTGGTCACTTATAGTTCCCAAGTGTTTAGCACAGTGCCTGGCACACAGCAGACACCCAGCACATATTTGTAGAATAAACAAAAATATTTTCTGTACATTTATGGCAAGGTTTGGAGAAAACCCTAACAGTTCACCATTCTGAATGCAAACACTATATATATATTTCTTTTTGTTTTTTCCCTATCTCAGGTATATTCCTTGGACTCTGCTGACTCTTTCCAAAGCTTCTACAGTCCCCACAAGGCTCAGATGAAGAATCCTATACTGGAGCGCCTGGCAGAGCAGATCGCAACTCTGTGTGCCACCCTGAAGGAGTACCCAGCTGTGCGGTATCGGGGGTAAGGGAGCACACCAGTCTGCCTTCAGTGGCCTCCCATGTGTCTGGCAAGTGAGGAACTTCCTCTGGCCTCAGGGTTCCTCTGGCAGTTGTCTCAAGAGGGTCACTAACCTTTAAAAGCAAATACCGTCTTTGCAGAAGATGTTTCATAGTAAGATAAAACTCAAAGAAAATAATTCTCCAAAGGACACATTCCTCAGGTTTTATAGTTATTCACTTATCACTTACCTTCTGTGTGCTAAGTACTGTGGGGGCGGGGGGGTGGGGACTTAAGCTGAAGACAGCCCCTACCCTTAGAAGCCCCTGAGCTGGGAGGGTAAGTAAGATGCCAACATGTATGCATAAGCCATGCACACCTACGGTATGGGCCCTGCGAGACCAGTGCGGTAGGATGGTACAAGCCAAGGGCTTGGACCTCCAGAGTAGGGAGAGGGCCCTTTGAGCTGAGAGGATCAAGAATGGCTTCAGGGCTAGCCCTGGTGGCCTAGTGGTTAAGTTCAGTGTGCTCCGCTTCTGCGGCCCAGGTTCGGGTCTGGTGCAGACCTACACCACTCGTCAGTGGCCATGCTGTGGCAGCGGCTCACATACAAAATAGAGGAGATTGGCAACAGATGTTAGCTCAGGGCAAATCTTCCTCAGGGGGAAAAAAAAAAAACAGCTTCAGACTAGAGATGACCTTTGAGCCAGGTCTTGAAGGACAGTTTGGATTTCAAAAGGCTGATGAGGACCAGAGGGCATTTTGTGTGGACAGTTGGCTCTTGCCATTGGGATGAAAAAGGCGTGGAGCTGGGGAAACAACGAGCAAGTTTGAGGAGGAGTGGTGGTCTAGCACGGTCTACGTGTGGGGCAGTGGGGTGAGATGAAGCCCTCTCTGGAGGCCTCGAGTGTCGGGTGTGGGGTTAGGTCCTGCAGTGGGAAACCTGTGGGGGATTTGCACAGGGGAGTGAACACAGTGCTGTGGGAGTGTGAAGGCGGAGTGTGAGCAGGAGCCAGGCCAGGAGAAGCCAGCAGGGGAAGGGCATTGCAAGAGGAGCTGAGAGCCTGAACTTAAAGTGCCAGCGACCACTGTTCCTCCTTTGCTTATTGCCTCGGGGTCTGCAGAAACACACCTCCTCCATTGTTGGTATTCACTGACAGAGGCCTGGTGGAAGTTAAGGCCATATCTCCTGACAGAGCAGTGGGAGCTTGGAGTTCATTCCTGGGAGGGAAGGGGCTGGGAACAGAGCCGCCTTAGCACTGAGCCCGGCCAGATGGCAGGCAGCAGCCACACACTACACCCAGGAGGAGCCCAGGAAGTGCTGTGAGGCTTAGCCAAGGGGAAAGGGTCAGAGGTTCCCACTTACGTCTTTCTGGCTCTGCCGGCAGAAAGGTCGCTTGCCAGCAAAACAGAACCCAAGGGAATTTGAATTGAGGGACATGAGAGGTGGGCCAGGCTCAGACAGCCTGATCCTGGGAAAGGGTGGATGGATGGTCAGGACCCTCTGTTGAAGTGTGGCTGTTTATCTGAAGCTGCTTGGAAAGGCTGCCTCTGTTTCCAGTTAGATAGTTTAAAGAAAAGGGAACTAGAAAATCATTGATGTTCCAGGCACTGAGCTAAGTATTTTATTTTATTTGTCCTTTTTAATTATACATAAAATATATGAGTATATTCTCACTGTAAAAGAACAACACAGATGAAGCTCATGTCTCCCTTGACCCTCCCGCGCTGTCCTGCCTTCCTCCCTGAGGGCAGTCTCAGGGACTGGGTGCACGGCAGTTCACCCTGTTTCACCCCTCCTTTGTCAGGGAATACAAGGACAATGCTTTGCTGGCTCAGCTAATCCAGGACAAGCTCGACGCCTACAAAGCCGATGACCCAACAATGGGGGAGGTAAGTCTGAACATGGTCCACGTGGTTCTCTCGCCAGGTGACCAGTGTTTGTGTGGCAGTCCTGGGGACAGCTGTTCCATAGCTCACTGAGCGTGCATGACTGCCACTGTTCCTGCGATTGGTGCAGTCTCCAGACCTTACTCAGATTTCACTAGTTGGTGCATGTGCTCGTGTGTGTGTGTAAATCTGTGCTATTTTATCACCTGTGTAGATCCATGTAACCACCGGTGCAGTCAAGACACAGAATTGTTCCATCAGTGTCTTGATTTTCAAACTGAAAATCCCAGGTCCTGGGACCACCAGGCAGACGGGATCGTGGGTCACCCTATTTGTAACTGAACCTAGGTGCTCTCCTTCGGAAGCCCACTTTGAACCCCAGCCACAGTTTTGGATCTGCTTCTAAGAACCCTCATTATGAAGCAGACACATTGGATTCTCACATGGTGTTTACTGGTGTTCCTGTCAAGTAGTAAATAGACTAGTCAGTGCTGTTTCAGTAGGTTTTACCTCAGAGTTCACTTCCTGCTGCCATCTTTTACAAGAGGGGTCACTAGGCTAGTTAGAGAAGCTGGAGTTGTTTGGAGTGGCTTGTGAAAGCCTTCCCTGTTCCTTCCTTCCAGGGCCCAGACAAGGCACGCTCCCAGCTCCTGATCCTGGACCGCGGTTTCGACCCCAGTTCCCCTGTACTCCATGAACTGACTTTTCAGGCTATGAGTTACGATCTGCTGCCCATTGAAAATGATGTATACAAGTGAGTATAGAGAACTGGCATGACTGCTGCTTTGCAGAGGAACCGGAAACACTTCTAACATAGGAAAAAGGACGTCCTTAATCCTAGGAAAAGCAGCCGCATTGATACAGACTTGCTAATAAGCTTGCAGGCTTTTCTGTGAATTCCCCGAATCCACATGGCATAACCAGCCAGGAAATCATGCCCCTTTTGGGGAGAACAAGAACTTTAGGTCTTTAGTTCATAGCTCATGTCACTTGAGTTCATAGCCTGCTTGGGTGTGTTAATGTGTTGATTTGTGTGTGTGTATCTTATTCAGAGTTTGAAACTTCTTTTTTTTTTATTTATTTTATTTTTTTCCCCCAAAGCCCCAGTAGATAGTTGTATGTCATAGCTGCACATCCTTCTAGTTGCTGTATGTGGGACGCAGCTTCAGCATGGCCGGAGAAGCGGTGCGTCAGTGCGCGCCCGGGATCCGAACCCGGGCCGCCAGCAGCGGAGCGCGCGCACTTAACCGCTAAGCCACGGGGCTGGCCCATGAAACTTCTTAATTATAGATCATGAAATATGATAAAATTTATCAACAGGAGTTTCTTACTGAACTTTATTTGCAGAGGAGCTATTTTCTTCATTATAAACATTTTTCTTGGCAGCAATCATCAGAAACTCAGTTTCTAAAAACTAATTTTTCTTTTTACAGAAACACTATATTGTTCTCAGGTCATTTATTTTATAACATTAATCTTAAAGATGGTTTCAAAATGAAGGTTCTAAAAATATTACTGAATCTCAGCTTTTCTCCCTTTTGGTACCTGTAATTCTTGCTTTCCTTTAGATGTTCAGGATTTCACATGTAAAAATATGCTGAGGGCCTGTTGCAGGTAGCTGCTGAAAGCTCTTTAGGTACCACACATGTGAGGATGGTGTCCCAGTCCTTTCCCAGAGAGGAACGAAGGTGATCCTTGCCTTTCCCTTATAAGTAACTCTGAACGCCCCCCCCCCCCCCCCCCCCCCCCCCAGTAACCTGACTTCACGTCCTGAACCAGGTGTCTGTGGTGGTGCTCTTATCAGCCCACTCTGAGGGTTTTAGAACAGAACTTCAGGTCAATTGACTTTGACTAGAGCTTTGGGTCTCTTCCTGCCCAAGAAATCGCAGCCGTGTTAGTGCTGGTAGAGCAGACCTGATAGAGACAGCGACACGTCGGTGGTCGGGGGGCTTGTGAAATCAGTCATGTGAACGTCTTTCTGCTGAGGACTGTGGGCTCTTGTCTGTCATAAACCAGAGGAGACTGGGTGGATTTTGTGGGGACTTCTCCTCTCCAGGTACGAGACGAGTGGCATCGGAGAGGCGCGGGTGAAAGAGGTGCTCCTGGACGAGGACGACGACCTCTGGATAGCGCTGCGCCACAAGCACATCGCAGAGGTGTCCCAGTAAGAGCGCCTTCCCCACCCCTCCCCAGCTCCAGACGCCCCCCCCAGCTCCAGGCCTCACCCCACGTACTAGGGCCAAACCTTTCTCCCCGATTGCCATTGCTGAGGCACGTACTCTGGGCAACGTGGCAGAGCTCATCAATGGATGAATGTACTGCTTCAGCAAAGTCATCAACATGCTAACCAATGATGGTGACTCCCTTCTGATCTCCGAGCTCAAGCTACACCGGCTTCACCAAGGTTGCTTTTAGGATTTTTGGAGAGCATTTGTATACAGCTCTCTCCGCAAAATACTTTGTAAACACTGAACATTTAAAGCCAGTTTCTTCCATTGAAAGATCCAGACTCCACTACATACAATTCGATTTTCTTTTATATAGCTGATGTGTCTTGCTTCCCTGTTGTCACACCTAAAATTTCTGAGCAGGAACTGGTGTCTATGCACACTGGAAGCCTAAATTGCTCTAAAAATGTTTCAAAATGTTTCTAATACCTAAACATTGTTATAAGACCATTAAACTGTAGATAACAATTCTGCTTTCGCAGAAAGACACATTCTGCTACATTGAATGGGTGATAGCCTCAGGAAATTCACAAGGAAGAGTGAGAAAATAATACAGCCTTGGATAGTTCTATCGTTTAGAAAAGTGGTCTCCAAACTTTTTGGATCACTCAACTTCAGAAAAATGTTGCTTCATATTTCCAGTATTTAAATTTATTTATTATTTAAATATATGCTTTATTGTACTAATATGTATATTTTACAGCATATACAGAAACATAAATTTGAAAAGGATCAAGTAACATAAACATAAATAGATGTTATAATATTTTCTTCTCTCTTCTTGAATCATCTCAAATACCCCACTCTGGTTTAGAATATTAGTTAGAAAAATGATGTACCTCTCTCTCTCTCCTCTAAGAAAATCACTTTAAATCCACACCTTCCTGGCAGGAAAAGTCGCCATGTGTTCCTAAAGGAACTCTTGCCTTACTTCACCAGCTTCCACAGAGAGGTGCTCAGTGCTGCTTTGAACCTTAGCTGCCTCCTTCTGTCTTCCAGGGAAGTCACCCGTTCTCTGAAAGATTTTTCTTCTAGCAAGAGAATGAATACTGGAGAGAAGGTAAACCATACGCGTGCCCCAATGCCCTTGAAGTTAATCCCTGCGTTCTCTCCAGGAGCAGGGAGGAGGCCTCCTTGGCAGAAAACTAGTGAGTTAGGGGGTCCTAGTCCTCTCTTCCTCAAATATCATTTTGTCTTGTTTTTGCATTCAAGATTGAGATCGGAGCCCCCATCTTTTGATACTTATAGAGAGCTTCTTTTTGTTACTCTGAGGATTAATATTTATTGGTTTGGATCATGATTCATTTTAAGCCAGAAAGACTGGGAATCCTTTTTTAACTTGTGGTAGAATTAGAATTTATAACCTAACTTACCTGGGCCTTTCCTTATCCTGACTGTTTAGCAGAGGCGGCTTACCCATCTCAGTCAAGGGAAATGCAGCTCTGATTGTGTCACTCCCTTGCTTAAAACCATTTAGAGACTTTCTGTTCCCAGTAGAATCAAGCCCCCCCCGCTTCCCCTGTGGACATGCCTCACAGCACCCAGGTCATCGAGCCCCACAGACTCTCTCTAGTCCTATCTCTGCCTCCCTCCTTCTTGCCCCTGCCGTCTTGCTCCAGCCCTGCCTGCCTTCCTCGCCTGGGTCCTGCCAAGACCCTGTCCTTTGGTTCAGGCATCGTTTTCTCCGGGAACCTTCCCGTTTCCTCCCTAAACTGGTGAGGTGCCTCTGCTCTGTGCACCCACACTCTTGCTTCCCTCGAGGAGCGCTAATCCACTCAGTTGTAATGGCTCCTCTGCTAGATGTTAGCTCCATAAAGGCAGAAATTACTTCTTTTTTTTTGGGGGGGGGGGCTTGTATCTCCAGCACCTAAAAGTGTCTTGGCATAGAGGAGTAATTCAGTAAATTTTGGGTAAATGAATGGGATGAGGTGGGTCACACAGTTAGAATGTCAACAGACCCTTTCACCTGTCGGGATGCAGATTCCAGCCTTTTCTCTCCTTCTCCCTACTTGGTACCTATCGACACAACTACAGCCTTTCTACCAGGTTGGAATGTGAGCTGGATGCCGAGACTGCTTGAGCTGAGTCTGCAGAAAAGCAGTGTGTTGAAGAAAAATTGTTCTTTCCTGGCAAGAATTATGCTCTCAATAACTTTCTAGTCCAATAACTAAAACATAATTGCTAGACTTCAAAGTTCACTTCCCCAACTTTAAGACAGTGATGGTATTTGGAAAAATAATTTTTTGAATTATTTGAAATCTAAACACATGTGATCTTGTGTTTAATGGATTCATTTCAAGAGTTACAGAGCGTGTGCTGGGGAAGTCTGGTGCTGGCTGCTGTCCTGTCCTGCGCCCAGTGTGCTTGCACAGCCTCCTAGATCAGGGCCCCTGGAGTAAGACCATTTGCTGTCCTTTCCCTTGCAGACCACCATGCGGGACCTGTCTCAGATGCTGAAGAAGATGCCCCAGTACCAGAAAGAGCTCAGCAAGGTATGGTGATCCGAAATGATCGATTTGAATCGTGAGTAAAAACAGCTGCAAAGAGACTTCTCAAAGCCTCATTGCACTAATCGATTCATTGAAATTCACAGAGTTTGTCATCTTCAATATTTATTAGAAAAAAAGGAAAGGCTGGGATAGACAGCTTATTTCCTATGACTCTCTTTTCTCCTCTTCATCTTTTTCTCTCTTCGTGCTTCCTATTCCTCATCCCATGGGCCTCTCCACACGGCTGCTTGAGTGTCCTCACGACCTGGCCACTGGCTTCCCCCAGAGCGAGTGACCCGAGAGAGAGCTAGGAAGAAGTCACAGTGCCTTTTGTGTCCTGGTCTGGGATGTCATGTATCGCTTCCTCCACACTATTCGTTAGAAGCAAGTTGAGTCGCTAAATCCAGCCCACACTCAAGGAGAGGGAATTAAGCTCCACCTCCTGGAGGGAGGAGGATCAAAGAATTTGTGGACATGCTGTGAAACCCACTTACCTCCCTGCCACCGTAAAGGATTTCTCCTAACTCTTGACTCTTTCAAAATGTGGTGTGTCCTCTCCTGACACAAAAACTTCTCCCTCGTGGTGTTTGTGTACCTGCCTGAAGGCCTGTTTTATCTCTTTTATGAGGCTGGAGACTCCTTGGTGCCTGGCACAGGGTTGATACATAGTAGGTGCTCAGTAGATGCTGCATGAAGCAGCGAGTGGTTCCTTGATCACAAACTCTCTGCTTTTTCCTAGTATTCCACCCACCTGCACCTTGCCGAGGACTGCATGAAGCATTACCAAGGCACCGTGGATAAACTCTGCCGAGTGGAGCAGGTAGGGCCTTTTCCTTCTCTTTCTGCCAGGCCCATTTACACAGCTGAATTGTAATGTTTGACCTTGAACATCCTGCAGAATCATAGGATATAGAGATGGGGAAGCCTGCTAGATCGCATTGTCTCAACTCTGGAACCAATGCGGTGCCGCTCTCAATGGTAGGGACTAGACTGGTCTGGAATGCTGTGCCATTTGGGTTTTGCATGTCTGACTTTCCAAAGGCGCCCTTTTCCCTGGAATAGCTGAAGAGAGATGTTTGGAGCTCTGAGCCCTACACTGGCAGGCTGGCTGAACTTTATATTCCGAGTGTATTTTCCTTCTGGCCTGGCCACACCAGCTTTGGAGACCTAGGAGCTGAAAGAGGATAGAGCAGTAGCAGGCCAGAATTTGCCCGCAGCCTCACCCGTCACAGTTAATACTGTAAGGTGAGAGGCTGGGATTTGAGCTCTGTCACTGACGTGTTTGATGTGCCTGTTTCTCCGCTTTACTTTCTTCATCTGCGAAGGGAAATAACAGTGCTACCACATGTTCCAGGAGTGTTGCGTGGTCACTAATCCTGGCACTCCTTTCAAGTGTGACAACATTGCCCAGCTAGGGGCAGCTTCTAGGGCAAGAGAGGGCATTAAATGATTCTGAAGCCTCAGCTGAGGTCCCTTTTCACAGAAAAAAACAACTCAAATTCTCAGTGTGGAGCTAAGATTTAAATCTTCTAATGTGATATGACAGGCTCAGCTCAGGTTTCTGATTCATTGACTCTCTTCTCTGAAGAAGTAGTCCTGCTAAAACCCATCAATTTCACAGGTGATCTCGGCAAACACAAGGTGTTGTCTCCAAAAGAACTAGACCATCCAGAAAATAGATTCTCCCTAGATCAGTAAAAATGCAGTTGGGATTAATCCTTGGAAGCTTAAAAATTTTCCGAAGTGCTCAATAGTACTTGTTGGACTAGTTACATTTAATTTGACTTTTAGAGAATGTTAGAGTAAGGTCTTGCTGAACAAACGTCTCTTAGGCTGGTGGTAGGACCGAGAGGTGAAAGGGCCGAGGAGAGGTGCCCTGCCTGCCTCGGACCCACACTGGGAAGAGACCCGAACTTGAGATCATCGTTGTTGTGGACTCCTGGGATCTTGAGAGAAAAAAGGGAACCTTCAGGCAACCTCTGTGAGAGCTACAGAGGAACTTAACAGCCGCTGCTGTCTGAGGACAAGACTGAATGGTTCTTGACTTGCCAAGACTGATGTGCTGCTTTCTCTGGCCTGTCGAGAGCCATCTGACTCCTGTCTGAGTCGTAAAGTGGGGGCCCGTAGACTGGGCTGACTTCACTCTTTCATCCTCAGTTCTTCTGTCAGCCTTTCCTCCCCGTCTTCCTGGGTTGGATTTACAGGTTTGGGAGCCCTTTTTTTTTTTTTTTTGTGAGGAAGATCAGCCCTGAGCTAACAGCCGATGCCAATCCTCCTTTTTTTGCCGAGGAAGCTTGGCACTGGGCTAACAACTGTGCCCATCTTCCTCTACTTTATATGGGATGCCACCGTGGCATGGCTTGACAAGCTGTGCGTCGGTGCGTGCCCGGGATCCGAACCGGCGAACCCTGGGCCGCCAAAGCAGAGCGTGCACACTTAACCACTACGCCACCGGGCTGGCCCCTGGGAGCCCTTTTTTTTTTCTCCTCACCCTAGAAGTGGTTGGAAGATTAAAAACAGGTTAAAAACCTGGGTAGTTAAAACTCAAAAAGTGTGTCCTTCAGTACTGGGGAAGCAGAGTAGAGAGAATCTAGCCAGGCAGAGGCACCTTAACATGCCAGAGCTCTTCCTGTGTGGGCAGGGCATCCGTTTGAGCCCCGATCCCTCAGCAGGGCTTTGTACCTCTAGGGGACCTCCCAGGACTGAGGCTTGACCTGAGGACTTGGCACAGGTACACTGGCCCTCACCCGAGGGAACAGCCTTCTTTTGAACAAGATGGCAAGTCATTGTGGTTTCTGTTTTTGGACAGTGAAACCTGGCGCTTTCGTCATTTCTCACAGATGCTATAAAAAACAATGCTAATTATACCAGTGCTGATTACAGTGCGTTGTGAGAGTAGAAGTACCCATGTGAGACCTCCCCCAGCCAAGCTACAAATCCCAGACCTTCGTGGACCACCAGTTTTCTGATAGTTACCATCTATCCAGACTGTCTCCAGAAACGGGGCCAACGGGGTGTGCTTTCTGCAGGACCTGGCCATGGGCACGGATGCTGAGGGGGAGAAGATCAAGGACCCCATGAGGGCCATCGTCCCCATTCTGCTGGACGCAAACGTCAGCACTTACGACAAGATCCGCATCATCCTCCTCTACATCTTTTTGAAGAACGGTAGGAATGGTGGGACAAGAGGAGGGACAGGCCTTTCCTGGGGAAACTGGGGCAGCCGAGAGAGAGAAGACAAAATGGGAAAGTAGTTAGAAGACATGGAAAAGGGTATTTAATAAGAAGACCCTACGGGCTCTTTATGTCTGGGGAAATGTAATGTAAGCAAATCAGTTGCACTGGAGGCTGAGTATCCCTCTAGAATAATCTAAAGTTAATCAGAGCTGTGGGATATGTGATAAGAGGACAGGGTGGGGGGAGCTGGGAGGTGGGAGGGCGCACTGGCTTTATGGCCAGGTTATTAGAGCAGATCTGCCAGATACTTTTTACTTGCATCACATTTGTAATCTGTGCCTTTAAATAACTGATTTTTACCCGTATCGTAGTTGCCCATAAGTGTCCATTGTACAGAAGGTGGACACAGAGACTCTCTTGTCTAAGTTGACTCTGAAGCAAGCTGGGGCTGGGCAGGGGTGGCTGAGACGCAGGAGACAGGTGGAAATATAGACGATGAGGGGCAGTTGATGATCACAGCCCGGGACAGAGTGGCCAGAGTGGAATCAGAGTCCTGATCTTGTCCTCTTCTGAGGAGGAGAAGGGGCAGGCGATTGGCTTTGCTTCTGGGTGTGTGACGTGCAGTGGTGGGGTGTGGTGATCGGGGTTTTGTTCTCTCAGGCATCACTGAGGAGAACCTGAACAAACTGATCCAGCATGCCCAGATCCCCCCGGAGGACAGTGAGATCATCACCAACATGGCACACCTAGGGGTGCCCATCGTCACAGACGTAAGGGGCCAGCCTTGCATGGGGGAAGGAGAGACAGATGGGAAGCTGGCATGTCTTATCTGTTCTCCCCAGCTTACTTAAAGCAGCTTATGATACACTCACTCAACATTGAGAAAGAGAAAACAGGTAAAATCAGAGGAATAAAGGTAGAGAGTGTAATAAAATAGAGGTCTAACACCAGAAACCCAGATGTGTGTGTCAAGGAGTCGCACAGTCATTCAAGCTGAGCTGTGTCTGTGAACCAGCCCAAAATAGGAGTCACGCCAGCTCTGCCCTTCCTATCCTGAGGTCGGTCCGGCTCTGCCCTTGCAGACCTCAACTCGGCACCTTCTGAGGGTGAGAACACAACACTAGCGTCAGGAAGTTTTGTCACCTTCGTTCTGCACCAGCGATGACTCAGAACCAAGGCAGGGCAGGTTGTGTGGGGGCCCGACCACACAATGAGCTCTGGAAGGGCCAGGGCCTCTAGAACTTGAGGAAAATGCCTAAGCACTCCCCAGAGCGCTCTGCTGTGAGGATTGCTTGTCGGAGCCCCACTGTGCGCTTCCTTCCTGTGAGGAGTCTGCTCACGCAGCAGTTGGCTCACGCAGCAACTTGATAAAGCCAGAGCAATGAAGGCGCTCCTTTCGGAAGCTTCGAGTCAAAAACTTGCTTCTGGAGCCACCAGACCAGAGACCTGTAACCGGAAATTATTTGGTGTTTTTAGACCCTTGTTCACAAGAGCGACCAGAACGAGAATGAAGAGGATTCACTCAGGGCCGGCCCCGTGGCTTAGCGGTTAAGTGCGCGCGCTCCGCTGCTGGTGGCCCGGGTTCGGATCCCGGGCGCGCACCGACGCACCGCTTCTCCGGCCATGCTGAGGCCGCGTCCCACATACAGCAACTAGAAGGATGTGCAGCTATGACATACAACTATCTACTGGGGCTTTGGGGGGAAAATAAATAAATAAAATCTTTAAAAAAAAAAAAGAGGATTCACTCAGTACATCCCGTGCTGTTGAAGCAAAATCAAACAATAAGTCACACCCAAAGGAGTATTTTCTCCTATAATCAGCAGCAAACTATTTTTTTTAACTATGTGGATTTTTTTTAAATGACACTTGTATATTTGACCCACATTTGCCATTTTTCACAGCTTTAAAGAACCAAGTTTGCTCCAGGTTCTTGGGCTGAGCCCGAGGGGCATATTTTGGGCGTTTCCAGGAAAACCTCCCCACTTATTACTCTCTGCCAGTGCTGACTCTCTGAAGGGAGTCCTTGGGAGTGAATTTCCAGGGCCCGTGTGGCCCCGACCCAGAGTCTGATCTGTGTGTGTTTCTGTTCAGTCCACGTTGCGTCGCAGGAGCAAACCAGAACGGAAGGAACGCATCAGTGAGCAGACCTACCAGCTCTCACGATGGACCCCGATCATTAAAGACATCATGGAGGTCAGTGGGGAGGGTGGGAGGGCTGTGCTGAGGGGCAGCCAGGGCCCGGGCTTTGCACTTGGGGGCCCAGATGCTTCCAGCCTCACCTGCTGTTGGGCAGCGGTGACACCCCGGGGTTTTCTCTCCTTGAGGATTTGCATCCAGGTCTCCGGAGCTCTTTCAGGCTTCATGGCATGCTTGTCCTGAGGGTTGATGAAGGGCAGTCCCAAGAGACTGCCAGACATAGATCCCCAAGATCTGTATGATTTAACCCCATGTTAGAGACCCTCCAGTGGTACTGCTTCCAGAGGAACCAGACACATCACAGCATGTAAAGGTCACATGAGTCACGAGCTCCATGCTGAGGGTGCGGGTGAGCCACGAGGCACACCTCGGCGGGCGTGGAAGGGCCTCCGGGGTATGACCCGAGCCCACCCCTCCTCTTCTCCCACTGCTCCTCTCCCTCAGCCTCTACGTCAGCCAGAGACCCTCCAAGCATGTTTCTGCCTCTGCTCTTCTACTCAAACCCATCCCCTGCCTGGAAAGCTCTCGGTCTCCTTTCCGCTCCCCGAATCCTGCCTTCCTTCAAAGCCCCCATCAGGTCTCAGCGTTCCGGTCCAGTGCCCACCCGTCTGATTGCCCAGCACCACACAGGCCTCCCTGGGCTCCTGTGACATGTGTCGGGATTGCCCTTTACATGTGTGTATGTGCTCGGTGTTTTGGGTCATCTTTTTATTTCTTGGTCCTGTGCCCTCAACTGACATGTCTTCCTCCAAGGGGCCGTGCCTTGCACATAGTAGGTGTTTCATAGTCGTGAATGTACGGTAGCCCTGTGGTGTCCCTCCCCTCTCTCCTTGTGGTGCGAGGAAACCCTGCTTAGAGGCCTACTCCGCAAGATCTCTGGGAGAGAGCTTGGAGATAATCTGTCCGACTCCTGCACTTGACAGGTGGACAAGACAGGGGTGCAGAGAATGGAGGGACCCGCCCAGGATCCCTTCATCAATTCACAGCAGTCCAGGTGTTCCCACTGAATTGTACGTTAAAATATATATTTAAATATATAGAGTGCGTCAGCTTCCTATTTTTAAAACCCACAAACCAAAAGAGGGGTGAGACATCTAGAAACCATTACATTTCATTGCTTGGTGAATAGACAAAGCCAGCCCCTCTGTCTCATCCTTTCTTTGTTCTCAGCTCCCTTTTCCTCCCTCTTCTCCCCAGTCCCACAAAGAGACGTGTGTAGGCTTCACACGAAGATTTCTAGGCAGTGGGGGGTGGATAGCTGGAATCCACCCACCAGATAATTAGATCCTTGGAAACTCAGGGTCTAAGGCCTCCCCTTGCATGAGAGACTGCCTGTGCCTTGTTTCTACAAGACTGATGGCAGGTGTCAGGAATTTATTGGATAGATTGCAACATTTATAACCTCACATAGATTGTAAAAGAGAAAAAAAAGAATAAATTGGAGGGGAAGCAAGAAAAATTAATGTTTTTTTTTTTAAAACTTCTCTTAAAGAGCAGACGTAAAAACTCATCTCAGTGTATCAGCTGGTTCCGGAGCATCTGGTCCATGCTGGGCCCTGCACTAGGCACCCTGCAGCAAGCAGAGGGCAAGGAGGGGTTCTGGAAGTTGCAAACCTGGGCAAGGTTTTTGCTAAGTGACTTGTTCCTTGAGTCGGCTCGCCTGGGTTCCCATCAACCCTTTTCAAACCGATGGCAGGCCCAATCTCGCTCTCTTTTCTTTCCAGGACACTATTGAGGACAAACTCGATACCAAGCACTACCCTTACATCTCTACCCGCTCCTCTGCCTCCTTCAGCACCACCGCTGTCAGGTAGGTGAGAATCCCTGAGCAAGCAAGGGGAGAGAAGGTGGGACCGTCTCGGGTTGGATGTCGGCTATATGGTGGTCCTGTTGTGACTCGGATGATCTGTGAGAATCCTGCTGCTGCTTCTCATCACAGCCAGAGTGCAGGCTGAGTCCTCACAGTGGCCCATGAGGCCCTTCACCCTCTGGCTTCCCCTTCCTCTCTCCTCCCTTCTGTCACTCCACGTCAGCCACACCAGCCTCCTTGCTCCTCCCTGAAAACACCAGGCTCTCTTCTGCCTCAGGGACTTTGTACTTGCTGTTCCCTCTGCCTAAAATGATCTGTCCCCAGATTTAGCTGCATGGAACGCCTCTTATCTCATTCAGGTCCTTAATCAAGTATTACCTCCTCCCATCTTCCCTAACCATCCTGTTTAAAATTACAGTACACCAACGTTCCTAGCAGCATTATTCGTAAGAGCTCAAAAGTGGGTATGACCCAAATGTCCATTAACTGCCGAACAGATAAACAAAATGTGGTGTATTAATTTCATGGAATATTATTTAACCAAAAAAAAAAGAACAAAGTACTGATCCATGCTACAACATGGATGAACCTTGAAAACATTATATTAAGTGAAAGAAGCCAGTCACACAAGTCCACATATTGCATGATGCTATTTATATGAAATGTCCAGAATAGGCAAATCTGTAGAGACAGAAAGCAGATTAGTGGTTGTTGGGGACACGGATGGAGGTAGGGGAATGGGGAGTGACCACTAAAGGTACAGGGTTGGGCCGGCCCCGTAGCTTAGCGGTTAAGTGCGTGCGCTCTGCTGCCGGTGGCCCAGGTTCAGATTCCGGGTGCGCACCGACGCACTGCTCCTCTGGCCATGCTGAGGCCGCGTCCCACATACAGCAACTAGAAGGATGTGCAGCTATGACAGACCTATCTACTGGGGCTTTGGGGGAAAAATAAATAAATAAAATCTTTAAAGGTACAGGGTTTCTTTTTGGGGGTGATGACATGGTCTAAAATTGATTATGGTGATGGTGCACAAGTCTGTGACTATACTAAAAACCATTGAATTATACACGTTAAATGAGTGAATTGTATGATATGTGAGTTATCTTTCAATAAAGATGTTACAGAAAATAAAGAAAAAAATTACAGAGCCTCCCCCAACACTTCCCATCTCCCTTCCCTGCTCTATTTTTCTCCATAGATGACACCAACACTTAGTATATTATTTGTATTTATCTTATTTCCTGCCAGTCTCCCTCAACTAGAATGTCAGCCCCCTGAGAGCAGAGATTGTGTCTGTTTTATCCTCAGTGCCTAGAGCAGAGCCTGGCACGTAACAGGCGCTCGGTGTATTCTGTCTTCACTTTTGATTAATTGATTTTAGTAATTAATTAAAAAGGGAGATGAATACATCCTCTGCATAGAGCCACATTTCTCAGATTCATTCTCGATGGAAATGTAGATAATGGAAATGTGGATGCCTTGGGTTTATTGGGTTTCTGCCACCTGCCTGGTGATGCTTAGACATTTCTCAGCTTCGAGCTCTGAGTAGATAGCAGTCCACACTTCTGTCCCTGGGTTCTCCAACACTGTTTTCTTGCATTTCGCCTCCACACTCGTCTCTGCCTCCCTCATCTGTGTGGTCCAGGTTCCTCCCTGAGCCACAGCAGTGTCTGTTACCTTTCCTGAGTGGCAGCTTCTGTTTTTCTCTGACAGTAAGAGCTTTGCTTGGCTCCTGGAACAGGCAAAACAACACATGAGCTTGGAGCAGGAAAGTCACAGCCCCAGAGAGGGTGACCTGTGGCGCTGGTGTGACACACAATTCCAGGATTAACACTCTGTGTGGACTTCTTTGTCCCTCTTCCATCCTTGGCCCGCCCGTCCTCTTTCTTTCCTCTCCTCCTTCTGTCTTCACTTTTAGGCCTTCTCCTGGGCCTGGGCTGGAGGCCTGCATGGCATCTGTGGCATTGTGCATCCCCTCTGGAGGCAGTGATTATTGCCAGCTTTGGAGTAAAATACAAAATCCCCAGTAGTGCCACAGCCAGGCTGTGATCGCAGACTGTCAACTGATGGCTCAGGCAAAGAAAGTGGCTATGGAATTCTCTGGCTTGGCCCCAATGGGCCCTCAGTGCCCTCAAGATTTGGAAAGTGACTGATGCTGTCGTGAGTCAGGGAGAAGGGCAGAGATTTCACTGTCCACAGGAGGCTCGCTCTCCTTGTTTTGTTTTCATTTTTGTTTTGTTTTCCCCATTTTCTTAACCTGGAAGCAACCTATTTCTCATTGTTTCTGAGGACAAGGTGAAGACCTACTGGGGGCAGTCCAGGGGGCTGGGGGGCACCTCTGGGAACTGTCCCACCACTGAACTGTGTGTCCTTCAGGAGGCAGCTCAGTGTCACCTCCTCTGTGACGTCACCTTCCCCAGTGACGCCCGGAAGGCACTAGACGGTCCTTCCCTATGTTTGTCCCTGTGGCAGAGCCCCTCTCCATCATAGCACGATTCGAGCCTGCTTCCTTCTCCCCACCCTCCCAGCGCCACCCACCCCAGTTCAGCCGCGAGCTCTTGGTGGGCAAGGGCCACATCTCACCAGGGGCGGCTCCTTGCTGCTGGGGCGGCCCCGGCCTGTGAAGCTCTCAGTGCACATCTGTCAGTGAGTCAGTGCGCCAGCCTGAAGACAGGCCTCAGACTCTGTCGTCACTGCTCACTGGCAGCAGCGTGTCCCGGGCAACCCTAGAAACGTGAACAGTCGGGGCTAGAAGCCTGGATGAATGCCCTAGAAGTTTGACCTTCACACGTCAAACTTTAAAGCCGACCTGAACCTGTCTGTTGGCTACTTGTTTCTAAGAGAGTGACGAGGTCACGCACGGGCGCTTGCAGTAATTCTTCTCCTGGCAGCCAGAGCACTCGACAATTTGCACTGCAGTTCATTCAGCCAACGCTTACTAAGCATGTACTGTGTTTGGGGCACTGATGTACAGAACGAATGTGTCAGCAAGTCACTGAGGCATGAAGTGACAAATACCCTAAGTGCAGGTAAACGTCATTAATTTCTCTCTCTCCCCCCCTCAGCGCCCGCTACGGGCACTGGCATAAGAACAAGGCCCCGGGGGAGTACCGCAGTGGTCCCCGCCTCATTATTTTCATCCTTGGGGGCGTGAGCCTGAACGAGATGCGTTGTGCTTATGAGGTGACCCAAGCCAACGGCAAGTGGGAAGTGCTAATCGGTGAGTGGGGCGTGTTTTCTCGGGGGCAGGGGCTGCTTCACTGCACCTTGACTCCATCCCATGCTTCGTGTGTCACCCTGTCCTCGATCTCCATCGCCCCTGCAAACGAGGTCTCTAGACCCGCTCATGGACTGCAGGAGCTGAGGGGCGAAGGGCTCCTTCCTCGTGTCTGCACCGTTTCTCTTGACGAGAGGCACTGCATGTCGGGGGAAGGGCCCAATCGCGGACTCTGACAGACCTAGGCTACCTTCCTGCTCTGCCACTGCCCAGCGGTCACCTTGAGCGAGAGCCTCGGCTCTCCAGGCTGCGACTTCCTTACCCAACAACATGGGGTTAAGAACAGCCACTTGCAGGCTTGAACTCGGCCTGAGGGGGGCTTGTCAGTGCCCTGGCCTTGGGCCTCACGTCCAGAAGATGCTCAGTGAATGGAAGGTAAGATATCACCCCTCCTCTACTGTCAGTCGGTGATAGACAGTCATGGTGTGTGAGCAGATACTGCCCAAACATAGTGGCCTGACTGCTGGACTCTCGTGCCCCAACCACTTCCTACCACTTCTAGGTCGATCATACCCTTTCTAGTATTTCCTGCTGGTTTTCCAGAAGAAAGAAGCAACTCATAAGAGCTGACTTAATGCAGCAGGAGATGTTTCTCCTCTTTCGTGCCTGCAGGAGCTTCCACAGTTTCTAGGGCTGGAAGAGGAAGCGTGAGCCAAGAAAAATCTCACTTGCTCCAGATGCCTGCCTTTTGTCTTATCTTTCCCTTAAAATGGAGTTGCTCCTGCCCGGGGTGCCTCTTGATATCGATTGGCAAGAGGCTATCAGCACGTGCCCTTTCCCCTTATCTCGATAAGGTGTGTCAGTTTTATACCTCCACTTTGGGGTGACCAAGTCACAGTGCCCCCCAGGCTCTCAGAGTGAGCAGGTTCTGCGGACCAGTCCATATGGCCGTTCCTGGGTCTATCAAGATGGACCTGGCATCGTCAACCCGCCTTCTTGATACCACCATTCAGTGGGGAGATTGGACATTCCCTCCGCCTCCCCACTGCCTGAAGCTTCCCCTGTCTGGTCACCCTTTCTCCCTGTATTGTTTTCTCCTTTTTGTTACGTAGGCCCCTGTGATGAAGCTCTCTCTGTTCCCTGCTTGCATACATGTTGCATGAAAGTGTTGGATAGTTCTCAGCTCAAACACAGCTGTCCTGGGCAGAAGCTGTCCCAGCCAGGCTTGGGTGTAAATCCCCCTCTTCAGCTTGGCCCTGACTTGAGGTTCCCTGTGGGGAGGTGGAACCCTGGGGAGGTAAAGCTGCCCGTGCAGATTCACGGGGAGGCCTCGTGCAGACAGCTGACGTCCGCTGTGTGGCCTCGCCCGCTTTGTGCATGCCCACCGTGTGTGCGTGCGTGTCCTGCTTTCTCGTACCTCGTTGGCTGCATAAAATGTAGGCCTAAGTTGGCATGTTCCTGTGACGTTCCTTTGTTCAAGCAGTCAGCTGGCCTCTGTTCTCCTGCAGGTTCTACTCATATTCTTACTCCCACCAAATTTCTCATGGACCTGAGACACCCCGACTTCAGGGAGTCCTCTAGGGTATCTTTTGAGGATCAGGCTCCAACAATGGAGTGAGAGCCAAAGAAACAAAGTAAAAGCAGCTTATTACAGAAAAGAAACTCTTCCACTCTGAAGGGTTTTCTTTGATTATTCCGTCACTCTTTTTCGTTCTTTTTCCCTTTTCCGTTTATTATTTCTTTGATTTTCTTTCAACGAGAAAATGCTTGCAGTTCTTAACACCGATTGAAAATGTGTCCGATGCTGCCTTCACACACCCTGCCACGGGAGCCTCGGGGCCCCGGCTTGCCAGCTCCCTCGTGCCTGGGGTCACCTGCCGCTCAGCCGGCCAGCTGTAGCCTGCTGGGTTCTAAACCAAAAGTGATAATAACAGCCGTGAATGGTCCTCCAGAGGGAGCTGGAGGTTGAGGGATGCTGGAGCATGGCGCCCAAGCCTGCTGGCCCAGGGGTGAATCTGTGGGCACGAGGCAGAGAACGCAGAGTGTCCTGGTTGTGACGTGGTGTGGGAACTGAAGAGTGAGGCCAGCAGGTGTTCAAAGGATGCTTGTGTCCAAGAAGCAGAAGTCCAACGGAGATACCCATGGGCACCTGATCGGGAGGAAGTCTTGGCAGAGAGTGTCAGAATAGACTCCAGGTCAGGGGGAGGTGGACATGCAAATCCCTCTTTCCCAGGACAGGCACTTATCCTGATGAACAATTTATAAGGGGTGATGGGATCACAAGCCACCATGAACTTAGTGAACTCCAGCCATCAGTGGAAAGGGCTTGTGTCTCATGTTCCTCTGGGCAAAACAGCACTTAATAGTGATTTGCTCTTCAGTGACTTGTTTTTATTTTAATTCTCCTGTGGATTCTTTCGGGAGTTGAGTAATCACAGCCCTACTCCCATTGAAGTCTCTTGGTCAGATCTGAGAGCCTTTGGGTAGAAATCTGTTCTTAACACCGTGCTGTTTTAAAGAGCGTCTTTTCCTCTCTCCCACCACGCTTGTCCCTTATATCAGCTTCCCAGGAACCCGTGGTCTGTTTGGTAGACGATCCAGGTGTTGTTCTTGTCCTCGTCCTTCCTGTCTCTCCGTCCTTCATGCGTGCTGGGAGCCCCCTGTGAGGTGCTGAGATGGCGGGCTGATGCTGAAGGGCCCCACCACAGCGTTAGTCCTTCCTCAGCTTCGTTTCCGCTCTGTGATGAGGCCACATTTTGTGTCCCTGGCTTCATATACGCCACTGATGATGGACCCTGAAAATGCCCCCTCCCCCTCGGCTAGGCGTGGCCCGCTAAGTCACGGAGCACGAGTCACCTGTGAGCAGTGGGGAGACCTGGACTCTTGCCCCAGCTCTGCCACGAGCACCTGTGACCGAGGGAGATCGTTCCCCCTTACTGGGCCACCCTATGCGGGTCACAGTGGGGCTGAATCGCAGGGCCCCGAGGCTCCTCAAAACTCTGACTGGCTGTAATTCAGTAATTAAGATTGGTGACTCAAACCGTGCAATCCTGCCCGCTCCCGTGCACTCTGGTGAACCTCAGGGGAGTGGTCCATCCGAACGTTGGCTAGGGAATGTCAGAAGCGTGCGTGTTTATATAAAGAGAATGTGCTCTGTCCTAAAAGGACTTGCTCTAAAGGTTGAACAGGAGGCAACCTGTTGATCTCCTCCCCTTTCCTTCCCGTGGTGGCCGAGAGATGGCTCCCCCAGGGCAGTGGTGAGGTGAGAAACAGCGAGTAGTTGTGAGCCAGGACGGGGGCTGGTTATGGCCCTGGGCTGCCTCTGCCCAGGCTGCCTTCCCTAGAAAGCGAGGCCAGGAGGGTGGTGAATAAAAGCAATTGTTAAAAAACATCATCTTTTAGAAGCCTCTCGGCAGGTTGGGGATCAGAGACACCTGGTCCAGTGTGCAGGTGGCAGGGAGGTGGACGGCATTTGCTGCAAGATGTATTTTAAGACTTCTAGAAGGACAGATGTTCAGTCGAGGCTGCAGCAATAGCAGACCAATTGCAGGGTCTAAAAGAATCACAAACCCAGACCCCCAGGGCTCCTGCTAGCTTTCGTCATGGGATTCCCTGCTTCAGAAGAAGCCTCTCCTTCGCAGACTTTTCCTTTGCTTTATGTCCGATCAGCAGAGAGGCTCTTGGCTGCCATGAGAGCAAAGAGAGCGCGGGTAGACTCTGGTTGTCTAGTCTTGGCTTCTGAAGTGCTTTGTTGGGCAGTGTTGGATTTTAGAGAATCCAGTTAAGAAAAAGTGAGGCACAGAGCCCTAAGAGCTGGGAGGTCCGAAGGCAGATTACCATCTGACCTGCCTCATCCTATTGTGATTGTCCAGGTGACCAAAGACCAGGCGGATTGTTGCAGAGCTGGGGGTGTCTCCTCCCAGACACCTGTATTTGCAGGAACTTAGCTGTTAAGAGAAGATGAGTTTCCCACTCAGTGGTGAATTAGAGCGTCCCCAGCAGGCCCGTGTGTGGGTGCCAGGACCTCGCTCTGTCCTCCTGGCTCCTCTGTCTCCTGGAGCTGAGGCCGGTGCCCCAGGTCTGGTGTAAAGAGACCAGGCGTGGATCGCTGAAGTGCACAGTTACCACCAAGCCTCATCTTAATCCTCCCTAATTAGTCATCCCCCAAAATTGTCTAAGAAATGAACTCTTTTGATCAGGTCTTCATCTCTACCCTCTGGTGGTGTATGTTAAAAGTACTGGTCACTGGGGGATGTCCGAGAGGCTGTCAGAGGCTGAGGAAGGAGGGCTGAACAGCTGGATTAGACTATTATATGGCACTTAGACTTGGGAGGAAGTTTTTGTTTCTTTATATTGAATATTTGCTTTATTCCAGATTGGGGTCAGGCAAGTTTCATTTTTCAGGAGGACTCAGATTTGTATCTGAATTCAGAGCCGAACCCTGGCCCAGCTGCTGTTTAAGCATTCACTTACATGTCCATTCGGGGGCCAGGAGGCCACAGGGTGCCCGGAACTGAGACCAGTGGCATGGCTTATAGGCCTGGCTGTGCCCCCAACCCACTGTGAGTGAGCACGCCATCACTCTGGGCTTCATTCTCCATCTGTGAGTGCGGGGTGGGCCAGACCGCTGTTCTCCAAACCTGGCAGATCACCAAACTCACCTGTGTGAATATGCACATTCCCTGGTGCCTCCCTGGATATTCTGAGTCAGTAGGTCTGTTTCAGCCAAATCCGGGAACGACTAGACCAGCTGATTTTAAGGACTCTTCTGATTTTCAAATTCTATCAGGGTAGAAAGAAGGATTTTGTGCTAGCAGAGCTTGCTCTGTCTGGCCCACAGCCTGACAGACTTCTGGGTGACTTGGTTTTTGGAGACCACTGTTCACCTGTCACAGTCTTCCAGTTCTGGAGGGTAAGAGGGACCCTGAGAACAGTAGGACCCGCTTGCTGTTCCAGAAGACCCACATGGTCAGATGCCTGTGGGTTCAAAATGAGAACGTTTGCAAAATGTGGACTACAAACTCACCCAGCCCGATTTGCAGTGTTGGTGGTGGTGAAAAGCTTAGCCATGTATCAAAACAGTGCAGGTGATTGGGTGGCAAGAACTGGCTCTCAGGTGGTTTATATTAACACCAGCTGGTCTGGGTCCTTTAAAGAGAGCGGGTGAGTTGGGGGAGAGCCCCAGAGGCCTCGCTGGTTGTCCGATACTCTTGGTCCTGGAAGTTTTCTTCTTTCAGTCAAAGACTGGGAACACCAGATGGTCAGCAATCAGATAATATCAGAAAGTTCTAGAGCATGGATTCCTTAACCTCTTTTTGGCTTCTCCCAAATCCTGAATTTGCATGTAAGCAAAGATAGGGAGTGCCTTGGGGTGGGCATCTGATCAGAGGCCCCTTTTGACTTTTCCTCTAAAGCGAGTCTGCCTTCTTGTGTCCTGGAACTCAGTGGATGGCAGGGGAGGGCGTTAGGGATGGTTTCTCTGGCGTGTACACTGTTATTGCCTTTAGCTGGGAAGTGCTAATCCCCGCACAGAGTACCCAGCGGCTGTCTTTCAGAGTGTAGACACAGACTGCACCAAGTTCAGGTTTGTCTGCAGAATAACGAGTCGGCTTTAGAGCTCGGGCTGGGCAGGCTGCACGCTCAGGGCATCATGCTCAGCACCCACAGGAAGGAGCCAAGGACTGGTTCCTCCTCAGAGCAGTGACCGGGCTGGGGCCTGAACTGCACAGCGTGGGCTGTTGGAAGACGCCCGTCACTCGAGAGAGGGCTTTACAAGTTTTCTGCTGGTCTGGACTGACTGGGAAGGTTCAAGTCTTGTGGTTCCAGTAGTCACGGGTCAGCTGAGCAAGTAACCGTCAAAGGCATAGGGACCCTGGTATTTGGAATCACTCCCAACAAGCCAGCCGAAGCCTGTCCTCAGGGTGGAGCTCTGGCATCGTGTAGTTTCTGCTCCCTTCCTCCCAGGAAGGCCTGTTCCCTTGCCCGCATCTCCCGGGAGGCACATTTTCAAGTTCGGACGTCTTTTGTTCAGTTTCTCCCACCAGGATCTCTTTCTTTGAAGCCCACTGCTGCATGCGTGCAGGCCTCATGTTCACACACCAGTCACTTCTGTTCTGTTTGAGTAAGTCCATGTCCAAACCACACAATCCATGCATCTTTTTTTACTGCACTTATTAGATCTCTCTCCTTGTGAAAAAGGACTTCATTTATTTTTATTTTTTATCTTTTTATTTTTGCAGTAGAATTATATCTAATTCCATTAGCTTAAACTTTTGCAAGCATTTCCAATCTCTTACAATGCGCGGTCTCTGCAAGGTAAGGCCTCAGGTACCTGGCCCTTTCCCTTTCACACCTGAGGTCCCACCCACCACGTCAGGACCAACCAGCTGGCTCCTGAGGTCAGTGGCTTCCCCCAGGGTGCTCTGCCCACCAACTTCCTCCCTACCAGGCACCATTCTTTCCACACACAGTCCCCCTACCCACACCTGCCCCGTTCCCAGCCTTTTCCCCTGCCATGAGGTTTGGAATTTCTCTCCCTAGCTTCACCTTGAGTTCAAGAGCGATTTAGAAATGCAGCTGCCCTGTGCCCTGGCCCATGGCGCTGAGCCCCGATGGAGAGGCCAGCTCCTTCCTTGGTACAGCCTGGGACCCTGCCTGAGCCAGAGGATGTGTTTGTTTATCCACAGTCCCCAAATGTCTCCAATGGCTATGGTGACATGGCCCCAAACCCCAACCCCCAGCCCCTCCCTGCTTCCACTAGACCAAGGCCAGGGTGGGGGTGGGGGAATGGATGCAGATCTGGGAATGGAGAAGAGCAGGAAAGGAAAAAGTGTTTCAAACTACAGCGGGCAAGCTCACTGTCTTTTCTGCCTCCCCCAGGATCCACGCACATTCTCACCCCACAGAAACTGCTGGACACGCTGAAGAAACTGAATAAAACAGATGAAGAAATAAGCAGTTAAAAAAATAAGCCACCCCTCCAAAAAACGAGCCCTCTTCCCACAGTGCTCCTCGGCCCCTCCCACTGACCACCTTGGTTACTTTGCTGCCCCTCTCCCTCCATTGCCTCCCCCGGCTCTGCACGCCCTGGCCAGCACGGTCACCGCTGCGTTCTTGTGTTTAATGATGGCCTCTTCTTCTTTGAAACAGAAGAAAATAATGCATTGTGTTTTTTAAAAAGAGTATCTTCTGTGTGTATCCTAAGAGGAGAAGTTCATGTGTGAGGGACACGCTGCTGGAGAAGCTTTGGAACTGTTTAGAGTGAATGGACACCTTCTCCCTGTTAGTTCTGATTCCCCGACCTTGTACATAACCCAGTGCGCCATGCGCAAATTGCTTGAGTATGGGAAGGTAGACATTTGAGGATTTTTAAAAACGTGTTTTGGGTTGTTCATGTTCTTGTTGGGAATCATAGAGATGTCTGTTCTTGGAGTATTTCAAACGGGGGATTAATCTGTTATCTTTGCTCCAGTTCCTGCCCCTCCGTGCCAGCTCGCATCCAGATAAGCTTGGAAGGGAAGATCAGGCGACATCTCATGAGGTTTGAACTAGAACCAACCTCTGCTCTCTTCAGTGGCTCTTTTCTTTGGGGCTGTGGCTGGGGGTAGGGGTGTCCATGTGAAGTCAGGCTGGGTGCCCGCTGGTGTCCAGCCTCTCACCAGTCTTCCCTGGCCCATGTCCACAGCGCTGTGGCCCTGAGGGAAGGTGTTCTGCAGTCTAAGTCACCGTGCCCGACAAATGAGGAGCAGGCATCCCATCGGGGGCCTTGTTCTCTTGGAGAAGTGGTTAGGCCTGATCCTTTTGACCAGACGCCTTCCTTCCCTGGGCATCACCCCGAACAGAGCTCCTCTTCCTTAGTGGGGTTAGCCTGGGTAGAGCTCAGGGGTCAGAATGGACTAGAACAGAGTGGGTTCTGCGGGCTCCTGGTCAGAGGGCCCTTTCCTGTAGAGAGCGTCCGTGCCCCTAGGACTTCAAACCACCTGAGGAACAGCCCATTGGGTTTATGCAGACCCTGTTCCTACTCAGATTATCCTCAGTTTAAGATACTTCATAATACTTTATTTTTTGTAGTATGGGGTCCTATGTCGTCATGCTTGTAAGAGAAAATGATCGTTTTATTCTCTGTATAAAAACTTAGCTGTATAAAACTTAGCTCTAATGCAGAAATTTCAGAAGCAAATGCAGGAAGGATGTCTCGCCATCCTCTCAACACAGCAGTTCTCCGGTAGTGAGCGCACCGATTGTTCTGCTGGTTGTCGCGAAATATAATGACAGTGGAAGTCACAAAAATGTCCCCTGCCCAGCCCCCCGCCGCCCTTTAACTCCCGCAGACCGTGTGTATATTACTGTCTCGTGACGTTGTTGCAAACGTGGTGTGTGCTAGTTCCCCAAGGCCCGCTTTCCTTTCAGAATACGTGCCCCGCCCCACCCCGTTAGATGCATTGTGGTGTTCTCTTCTCAAGGCTCTGAAATCTCCCCTTTGCACTCAGATTAGTTTTCAGGTCTGTCTCTGCTCCTTAAGATACCTGATTCCCTTAGGACAGAGCTGTAGGTACTGGCTTTGCTTTGTTTCTCACTGTTACTGCTTGTTCCGTCCCCTCCCCTTGACCACACAATGCTTTTGCTTCAGGACCTTGTTTGTTGAACATGTTGGTTTTCCTTTCTCTGTTATTTATATCAAAATAATTTATCAAAAGGATATTTTAAAAAAAACGAGTCTGTCTTGAAACTTGTTTACCTTGAAATTATCAGAATCTCAGTGTTTGAAAGTATTGAAGCACAAACATGTATCATCTCTGTACCGTTCTGTACTAAAGCACTCGAGTCTAATAAATAAATAAATCAGCGCCCACTCGCGGTGTCCCGGGTGATTCCTGGTCTGGTTTTACCTTGGGGAGTGGAAGGAGAAAGGCTTCTGCAATGGTCCACGGCAGAGGAGACCAGCCACCCCCAGCCATGGCTTGGAGTCTTCTGGATCCAGGTCACCGTTACTTGCATTAGGATCCATAGCTGTCTCACATTTGGTGACAAGCCAAGAAGCTTGTCTGGGGCCCCCAGCAGCGACAGGGCACTGCCTGTAGATGAGGTAGTTCCTCCATCGCCCTGTTTCTCCCAATCTAGAATGTCTCTCTGGCTCTGCAGATGCTCCCTCCTGAGCATGTGGTGACAGCGCATGTAGGGCATGTGATCAGGTCACTGCCCTCCTCCTCTGTTCCTGCTGCCACACCATCCAGCCTTCTGATGAACTTCTTTCCAGATCGGAAGCTGGTGCATGTCCTGCTGGTCTTCAAGCCTGTTCATGACCTGGGGAGACTGTGATGGGTTTGGCCCAGCTTGGGGAGTAGACCTTTAAGTTAGGGTTGGGGTCCCACTGGAAACCTGCTAGAATACTGGGCACAGGGGAGGGGGTTCTTTGTAGGAACTTCTGTTTCTTTCTTTTTTTTTTTTTTTTGTGAGGAAGATCAGCCCTGAGCTAACATCCATGCCAATCGTCCTCTTTTTGCTGAGGAAGACCGGCTCTGAGCTAACATCTATTGCCAATCCTCCTCCTTTTTTTTTTTTTCCCCCCAAAGCCCCAGTAGATAGTTGTATGTCATAGTTGCACATCCTTCTAGTTGCTGTATGTGGGACGCGGCCTCAGCATGGCCAGAGAAGCAGTGTGTTGGTGCGTGCCCAGGATCCGAACCCGGGCCGCCAGTAGCGGAGCGCACTCACTTAACCGCTAAGCCGTGGGGCGGGCCCAGAACTTCTGTTTCTACTCTGTTGTCCCCAGTCGCTCTCTCCTTCAAATCCTGATCTCCTTCATAGCATCAAGAAATCTAACAAGTCAAGGCTGGTTGGTGGAGGTTGCGCCTCCACAACCTGGCTGTGGTCTGGTGACCTTGCCCTAAGGGAGGTAATGATGACAGTGACCGTTTACTGAGTTCCTGCTCCACGTCAGGCCCCTCCAGTCCCTTGTTTGTTGGGTGGGTCCCCTCCCCATTTGACAGACAGGAAGCTGAAGCTCAGAGACGCTGTAGCGCACAGAGCTCACTCCAGCCAAGGAGCGCCAGACACTCACTGTCTTATATCAGTGCTTGCTTCACCAGTGACCAGCACACCTTGGAATGAGATCTGAGAGCAGAATTTTTAAATTCTAAATTGTTCTAAACTGAGTTACATTAGAGCAAAGTAAATACCCTTTTCTCCTTCCCAGGGCCATCTGTATCCTCCAGGACCATGGTAGTGGCTTGCTAGTCTCTCCCTGATTGTTTCTGACATCCTTTCCCCCCGCAGGCACCTCTCTCCAGTCCACCTCTCTCACTACCACCCAAGGCACACAGCCTGGCCCTCTTTTTTTTTTTTTTTTTTTTAAAGATTTTATTTATTTATTTTTCCCCCAAAGCCCCAGTAGATAGTTGTCTGTCATAGCTGCACATCCTTCTAGTTGCCGTATGTGGGACGCGGCCTCAGCATGGCTGGAGGAGTGGTGCGTCGGTGCGCACCCGGGATCCGAACCCGGGCCGCCAGCAGCAGAGCGCGTGCACTTAACCGCTAAGCCACGGGGCCGGCCCCCAGCCTGGCCCTCTTTATTCTCCTGGCAGAAGTCCCGGTTCTCCAGTACACAGCACAGAGGGAGCCTGCTGGCCATTCCTCCAAAAAACCTCCAATGGTGTTAAATATTCTTGGAGGGGCAGGGGACTCTGAAACAAACCAAAGCGTGTAGCATTGAACCAATAACAGCAGTCCTACAGCAAGACAGGTCCGTGAGCTGCAGCCGGTCGTTCTGCCTTTCCAGGGCCCAGGTCCAGGCAGGGGTCTCAGCCAGAGCCTGCTGAGGGGCCTGGACACTCACCTCGTATGACACCAGGCATTCATTCCTGGGAGGCAGCGTGACCAGGAGCACAGGCCTCGGCATCAGGCAGGCCTGGGTCAAATCCACCCTTGGCCTCGTTCCATGTGACCTTGCTGAGGGACTCTGTCCCCTCCTGTGAGTGACAGCTGTGGAGGAGTGATGCTGAGCTGGCCCACGTAAGGACAATAAGCACTCAGTGTTGACGGTGATGATGACGATTCCCAACCGTGTCTGGGGAAAAAAGAATAATCATGCTGATACACTGAAAAAAACCCCAAATGTCCATCAACTAGAGAATAGGTAAATCAATATTTATGCACCCATTGACTACTCTAAGGCAGTTAAAAATGCATGACCTATGTATATGAACATGAATAAACCTCAGAAAACTTAATGTTGAGTGAAAGAGCAACTTATAGAAGGATACATACAGAATGAAGCATTTATGCAAAGTTTTAAAATCTCATAAGTGCAATATATAATGCTTATGGTACATATGTTGTAAATATGTAAGAACATGCATGATAATGATAAATACCGAAGTCAGGATAGTGGCTATTTATGAGGAGAGGATGGTATGGTGTTGCCCTATATCCCCAGTCACAAAATGAATCAGTGGCTTAAAAGTGCTTCACTGAATCAAAAAAATATAGATAATAATTCTAATTGTAGTTAATATATATTCGACACCTAATATGTACCAGGCATGACTGCTTTATATGTATCTTGCTGAATTTTCTCAACAACTCTAGGAATTAGATGTTATTAACCCTACTTACAGATGGAGAAACAGAGGCACAAAGGCAGTAACTTGGCCAAGGTCCCCCATTGGCACATGGCAGAGCCTAGACTTAAACACAGCAGTCTGATGCCAGAGCCCATGTTCTCCACTATCAGAAACATGTTATCAATATAAATAGACAACAGGATTCTGGTGTGAATACAGAATGCGAGTCTGTATGGGCTGGAACTAATGGCTCTTCAAGAATGATTATTTTACGTAAGAAACCAAAAAAAAGAAGAAGAGTGGAAATAAAATGTAGAACAATAAAAATTGGATTTTCTGGGCCAGCAAGCTTCCCTGGTCCCCTGTGCATTACCTGTTATGAGAAACAGAGGCAAAGAGTAGATGAACACGTTGAAACATTTCAATCAATTTCAAGTGAAGCACAGTGATCTCGTACATAAGCCAAGCAAATTCCCCATACCAATCACAAAAGAACACATTCTAGAATGAACCAATTAATTGCATCCCTAAAGCTGGGGAAGAAACCCAAACTACAGAGACAGCAATCATAGTTACACTCCTTGGAGGAAAAAGTGGCACCAGATATAATGTTGCCAAGAAGCTTATAAGAACCAGCTGCTGTTCGTTGTGACCTCAATAAAGTAATCGAGAAAAACAAACAGCCTCTGTTGATCCCAGCATCCTTTGAGCAAATAACACTGTTGCCTAGTGGAAACTGCCATTTAGAAAGTGGAGTGTCGGGCCGGCGGGCTTGGCAGTTAAGTGCGCACGCTCCTCTACTGGCTGCCCGGGTTCGGATCCCGGGCACGCACCGACGCACCGCTTCTCCGGCCATGCTGAGGCTGCGTCCCACATACAGCAACTAGAAGGATGTGCAACT